ATCTTCTAGTTGCTAATATTTAAAAAAAAAAACAAAGAAAAAAAGTCTAACATAACAATAAACATTAAATTAAACAAAACAAAAACTAATAAAAAGATAATTCCTATTTGATGAATATTACATTTAACATAATTAATAATTCTAACCTAAAAAATATATTATCGATAAAACATATAACATACAAATAAACTAAAATATATTACACAAATAAAATAATAAATAATAAAATAAAAGAAAACAATAAAAAAGAAAACTTGTGAAAAATAATAAGAATATAGAAATAATTGAAGAAGAGAATGAGAACCACTGAACACAGCTGCCGCGCGACGCGGCGGTATCTCTCCGCGTAGTCTGCTACCTCACACCCTCATCATCTTGCGCGAACCCAGCTTCAGCAACGGCAACGGGCAATGGCAGCGGCAGCGGCAGCGTCAGCAACGGCGGCAGAGGCAGCAGCAACGGCTAGAGCAACGGCAATAGCAACGGCAACCAGCACGTGGGTGCCGCTGGTCGAAGGGGTCGCGCGCGTGGAATGAGGGTGACGCAAGGAGAAAGCGGAGGCGGTAGTGGGATGGGGTGAGGTTGGGTTGGGTAGGGTGGTGGGAGTTGGGTGGCAGAATAGGGGGAGCAGGAGGTGGGGAAGGAGGGCGTGGGGTGGTAGAAGCGCGACGGTGGAGGCGCGAGGCGGTCGACCGATCGCGAACGCGAGGGACTCCGAAGGGCTCCGAAGGACTCGAAAGGGCTCGGAAGAACCTTCCCACCATCACCAACCAACCACCACTATCACCTACATCAGCATCACCACTACTACCATCACAATCACCACCCACTGACCATTGCCCTCCACCCTAAACGCAAACCCACTACTACTACCCTTCTCTCTCCTCCCCAGTCTTCTTCTTCTTCTTACTGAACTTACCCTCTCGGACTTACGTCGAGAGAGGATGGAAAATTTTCTTTCTTTTTCATCGAACAAAAAGAAAAAAAGAAGAAGAAGAAAAAGAAGAAGAAAAAAAGGACAACATCGTCCCCTTACCCCGCTAACTAAGACTTTGTCTTGTCGCTTAAATTTTATATCTTGGTCATCTTTTAATCTATTATCTTTCTCAACTGTTGCTGCTGCTAATTATCATCTCAGTTTTTTTTTTATGAATAATCTTCTTTTTATACTTTTGTTTTTATTACGTTGGATATTGTGTAAGAATAAAATTAAAAAGAAGAAAAAAAAAAGAATTTCTATAAGATTTAAGTAGGAGAGTCCTCTTTAACAAGAATTCGGAACTAAAGCTAAATTTAGATTTCAATGTGTTTGACCTTTTTTTTCAAATACCTCGGAGAAAGTCGAGAAATTCTTTCGAAGCGCAACCGGTACTATATATTCCAAGCGCATAGATCATAATACAATAGCGTAGGTCAGGAAACAGGGAAGATACGCATCCCACTTGCCATGTGCTCGACGACGCATTTCGCTTCGAGTTACTCACCCCTCTCTACCCCACCTCGTTCATTCTACTATAACTCTCCTCTTCCTATCCCTGTTCAATGATCACTCGCTCACTCGCTCTCACTCCTTCTGTTTGCCCCATATATTTATTCTTTGATATTATTATTATTACTTCTGTATTTTCACTAACTGTTCTTCTTATCGACAGTGAAAATTCATTTCTCTTCTCCAATTATTTCCTTGTCGATAATGTAGCTACATCGCACAAATAAAATATTATTATCGACAGAGACATAACCTACAAAAGAAAAATATTTTTATTATCGACAGATAAATTACCGACAGTGCTAAAGTATTTTTTGTTATCAACAGAAACATAACCGACAGTGATTTACTTTCAACGTTTCTCGGTAATGCAGTTACCACGCATTTATTATTATTCGTCGATAATTTAGGTATATCGTACAAATAAAATATTATTATTGACAAAGATATAACCTATTTTTTTTTTTCCTTGAGGTTTGTTTACCCGGGCGCTCAGTCTCTAGACCATTGTACCCGGGCCCCTTGCGGGAAAAAACCTATGACCATAGCGGTCCCGCGGGCAGCCCCGACTCCCTTGCAAAGCGCAGGAGTCTGGCTGCCCCTGAGCCCACTAGGTCGAAGTTGTTGTCGGTGGTCCCAAGGACATTATTTCTGACGTCCGCGAGCCCAACGCATTGAGTTATGAAATGGAGGGGGGTATCCTCTCCTTTGCCACACCTGCCGCAGACCGAGTCTTGTGCAAGGCCCTGTCGCGTAAGGTGCTTTCTAAGGTGCCAGTGCCCGGTGACCAATCCTACCACCAGCCTCAATTGGGCTCGGTCCAAAGGTTGATCAGCTCGGTACCTAGCTCCTCCGAAGGCCCTGAAAACAGAGCCTTCGTGTGCCTCATGCCAGGGCCTTGCACCCAGAGATCCCTGAAGCGGTCCGTAGCCCACTTCTTAGACCTCCACCGCTTAAGCCCCTCTGACACGCTGATGTGGCATTAGATTGCCAGATCGTGCCGTGAAGCTCCAAGTCTGGCAAGCTCGTGCGCCCTTTCGTTGCCCTGAACGCCACTATGACCTGGCACCCAGAGCAACCTTACTCTGTTGTCACTGCCTAGCCGTGTCAACAAGTCTACACAGTCCTTCACCAGCCCTGA